CAGTGTGGAGAGAGCTGGGAGGAAGGTGGGCAGTTCCATACCTGGGCTATGATGAGGACATACCTCACAGGGAGGCAGAACCTGGAAAGCCACAGAGGAAAGTCTAGGTCAGGAAGAAGGCCTGGTACCACATGTGAAGGCTCGGGTAGCTTGGCAGCTTGGGGAAGGCAGGAAGGCCATTTCTCACACATGTACATAGCAGGCCCATGGTGGGACGAGGCCACATTTACGAGGGCCAGGCACAGCCTCCTGGGCCACAGCAAAGGCTACCCCTGGCTTCCCACATGTCTTGCTGTAGTCTCCTCCTTACTTCTTTCAGTATCATTCTTGCCAAGCAGGTTTTAATGACCCTGAAGACATGAGATTTTCTTGGCTGCTGTTCAAGTCTTCGGGAATGATGCCCACATCAGGAAAGCACAGGAGGCTGTGGGCTGGAGGCTAACACTGTGCCCAGCAGCTGAGGCTGCAGCCCACTTAGGGACCAACTCCCAGGTTCAGTCAACACCAAAGGCCATGCCTGACAAAGGTCCTGTGTGGTCCTAAGGACTCATGGGGTGGCTGGTGCTGCCACTGCTCTTGAGACCACCCTGTGACCCCAGTCCCTGTGCTTATGCGCTGGATGGCTCTTCAGAATAGCTCCTGGGCTTCCTTCCGGGCCACCGTCCCTGAAGCAAGGCCCTGGGCTTGCAACATTTGACTTCTTTCCTTGTCATTCGTCTCCCAGACACCAACTGCCCTTTGATACATATCCCCTTCTTTCTCTCCCCATGTCTTTCTACTGTGACTCTCAATGTCATTCACACCTTGGCTTAGCTCAGTCTCTCCTAGCTTATCCGACTGCCTACTGAACCGTGAGCCCCTCTCAGGCATGTGGCCACCCATTTCCTTCCTTCTTGTAGCTAACCCACACCTGCTCTGATCACAGTGTGGAACCCCATGTCTAAGATCATCTTAGAATCAACCAGAGACTGTGTGATGAGCTGGAATGACACTAAATCACTCCCTTGTGTTTTACCTATTAGGTGACACACACTCTAAGCATTTAAGCCATTATTCAGGATGCCTTTTATTGAAACAACACATCCTTTCTGTGTGGCCTCTTGGACTTTTTCCTGGAGCTGGAGCTAAGAATAGTTACAAATGCAAAATGCCTCAATATTCCACAAGGGTGACACACACAGACCTAAGCTTAAGAAAATGTCCTTGAATGTTCTGCAATTCTGTAGCAAAGAGCCCAGTTCATTCACAGTCCTCCACTAAAAGCTTAGAAGGAATAAGTAGTAACTCCTAGTTGTGTGTGTGTGTGTATGTATGTAACAGTCAAGGGCTAGGATTGTCTAAAACCAAGTTCTGCAAGGTCGGTGGCAGGAGCTTGCTAGAGGTGCCTTCTGAGGAACCAGGCTATCTGTGTGGTACGGCAGAGGTAACCCATCCTGTCCCATATACCCAGCACTGCTGAGCACTATGAGAAGGGAGGCTCCACACTACAAGGTCCTCCTGAAGGCCTTGGACATTGAATTGCAAACCCTAGACAAAGGTGGACACCAGACAGAAACAACTGGGAACCTGGGCAAGTTTTACAGTCATCTATCCAAGCTTTTCACTGGGGAAATGAAGGTGTGTGTGTGATGTCATTGCTTTCCTCCTGAAAGGATGAGAAGCAGGACAAGACTTGAGCCTGGAACTTGAGAGGACAGTGGGACAGCTTCTAAGTATCCCATGTACATGCAGTGTCGTCATGTGATTTGATACCGTTCTCTCAATCACACTGTGATTTCCAGGAAGACTGAGGCCCAGAAAGATGTTAATACTTGAGCTCAAGCTGCTTTCAAGGGAAGTGAGCTTGGCTCTGTTCTTTCTCTTCAACTCTGGGGCAGATGCAGACTCCAGAAGGCCAGGTCTCTTTGTATTACTACGGAACTTTCTAGTCCTCCCCACACTGGCCTGTGTCAAGGTGACAGTCAGGACCACCCTTCAGGAGCAGGGTCTCCTTCCTCTTGCCCTCAATAAGTGATCCCTGTGACCCCACTGACTGGCTGCCATGTGGTGACCCTTAGTCAGTTCTGAGCTTTGGCCACAGGGTGCCTGATGCTTTTCCATTTGTTATCTTGGAACCCTGCCAGCTGCTTCAAGAACAAGCCTAGACCAGCCCGGCAGTGGTGACAACTGTTCCAGCTCAGGTCCCAAAGATGTCTGCCTGGGCAGATTAGCACACCATCCTTCTAATTTGAGTCCTGAGCAAAGACAAAGGATTACTGCCTTAAACCATAGGACATCAGCTGCTTACATAGCATGAGGTAAGCAAAGGCACCCAACCACCATCACTCTTGCTCCCAGTTACCTGCTTTCTATGTAAGGATCACTCCCCTTAAACCCAGCCTTAGGGAAAGCAGAACACAAAAGCAGAAATGGTGTTCTGTACCAGTGTCATGTTCCAGACAGGACAGCCCATACTTCCATTCCCATAACCCCCAACCACAGACCCAAAGGCCTAGAGAACCAAGTATTCAGAATCTCTCCAGTGGACAGGCAGGGTCTACAGAAGGACAGGACTGGTAACAGGTAGCACCATTGTCCAGGAGACACAGGCTTCAAGCATTAACTAACTGCACAAGTTTCCAAGTGAGGAAAAGCAGGGAGGGAATGACTCACCGAGGGCACAGGCAAGCTGCCGTGCCGGTTGAGAAAGGAGTTAGACACGGATACACTGAGGCCCTGAGCGGCACTGCCGTCCTCGGGGGTGAAGGCCACTTTAGTTTGCTGGACACAGTAGGAGACAGAGAAGGAAGAAGCAGCATAGGAGGCCTGCTGGGCAGAGGGTGAAAGACAAGGCAGGGAAGAGGAGAAAGCAGAGAATGGTCAGCAGAGGCAGTAGCTGTGGGGTCTACTAATACTGCACAGGGATGGCTGCCTGACTCCGCCAAAGGTTGCCGGATCCCAGCTCAACCTTTCAACGAGAGGCCCTGCTTGCTCTTTTGCCTCATGACAGATTCTAATATCAACTTTCAGAAAGACTTCAGAGGACAAGTGGGCTGTAGCCACACAGATGTGGACTGACCCAGGACCCTGCGCTCTTCAAAGTAGAGTAGACATGTGTGGCCACTCTGCCCTCAGAGCTCAGAGCTGAGTCAGTCCACCTGTGCTTTAATCTGGTCCCCATCAGAGACCACTTACTGGCCTTGGGCATCTCTCTCTCTCTCTCTCCCTCAGTTTTTTGAGACAGGGTTTCACTGTGTGGCCTTGGCTGTTCTGGAACTTACTCTGTAGACCAGGCTGGCCTTGAACTCACAGAGATCTGCCTGTCTCTGCCTCCTGAGTGTTGGGATTAAAGGCGTGCGCCACCATTGATCTTAGAGAGCATGGTGGTCAGGGTCTTCATTTGGAAACTGTGGTGAACTCTTGCACCTTCTGTGTACATTTGGGGGAGGGTTAAATGAAGTACCACGCACAAAGCACTGTGAGTCCAGTCTATCACTGTAAGTGCAATTGCTACCACACTTGTGTGTAAGATGTGTACAGCTCCTATATGTGTGTGCTGGAGATAGGACATAAGCAGCAACTGGCACAGCCCATCCTGTGGTAGGCCAGGGCTCCCCTGGAGCTGGGCTTTGATTTCTAGGTCTTTGGATAGCTGTGGCCTGGGATAAATTCTTCTGGTTCCTTGCCTGTCTTTACTCATAATGGAGATATCAGGAACTATGTTGAGGGCTGTGTGCACCTGAACCTGCCTGGATAGGTCCCTAATTGACTGATCTCTCCCCAACCTACTGTATGGTGGGTCAGGTGGCCTCCTGTTACACCCTTGGAATGTTTCTGTTCCACATGCATGTTCAGAATCTGTGCACTTTCCAAAATAGAGATGCCCAGGGCAACCCACAGGTCACAGATGAACAACCTTGGTAAGCTGGTTGGCAGTGGTCCCAGGCCCACGTTTCTATTCTCATAAAGAAAATCTTCTGGGAGACAACTGCAGAGTGGTTTAGAGTCGCAGGTGGTACTGTGGACAGGGCTGGGACCCTAGGTTCCAGGATCCCAGGTCAACCTTTCTTCTCTATAGGAGGCTGCCTCTGTTAGGCTGAGAGTTTCTTGGGAGAAGCAAATGCCTGCTGAGCTGACTGGTTCTAGCCTGTGATGGCTGAACAGCTCAGAAGCCTGAGACTAGGCCAAGTCCCAGGCACTACAAGGCAAACGGGGCTTACTTCCTCTCACAATGCACAGAAAAGGGCTTAGCTTGCCATGTATATCCCTTTTCTTGCCAGAAACTGGACTGGTCAGCAAGGTAGCAAAGCAACCCACACAGCTCTGCGAAGGTTAAGACTTCAGCTCTGCAGGGTTTGGCTGGACCAGCGGCTCTGACCCTGAAGCCCAGTGTGTACCAGCAGCAAGTAGAACAAGGTTGGAAGCAGGTTCAGTGCTTTGCCACCTGGGTGAGTGTGCAAGCCAGGCAGGATCCATTACCGAGGTATGCAAAGGAGGGCACTGCTGGGTTTGTAGCACAAAGTGGCTCTGTCTGGAGCCATCCTGTTTCAGTGGAACTTGTTCCCATGGGGCCATCCCTGGCCAGGACTGGGATGGAAGTGACTCCATACAGTTAGGCCCATTATGGAAGTCAAGTCCACAGATGGCTGCACACAGACAGTGCTCTGTGCTTTGATTGAGTGCCTCCCGTCTATGAGGTCTATGCTAGAGCCAAAGAAGACAGGGAAGACACAGAGACTGTCAGCAGTGAAATCAAACATTCTGAGCACAAGTCTGCCCCAGCTACACAGGCTGCTTTGGAGGAGGAGGCCCTTTGCCCCCAGGGTGGGAAGACAGCAGTGTGGGGGACAGGCTGCTGTGAGTATCTGGGGAGGAAGTGGAGGCACCATGTGGGACACAGTGACTTGAAAACACCTAATGAATGAAAAGCAGGTTCAACCTGGCCCCAGCAGGACTGCTCCGACTTTGGAAGCTCTGGTCACCTGCAGCAGTGCCAAGGACACAGATGGGGAACTGCTTACCAGCTGCCGCTGCTTGGGGGGCAGGGCGGGAGGGGGGGCCAGCTCCTGTAAGGAGTCGCTGCCGCAGAAGGCGTCGCTGAAGCCGTACACCTCCATGAGCATCCTGTTCTTCTGCTGGTAGATGTGCTCACTCTGCGGCGTCTGGTAGAACATGGAGGGCTGCGGCTCCGAGTAGTCCTCCAGCAGTTGCATGTAGGCCAGCACTGTGGACAGAGGGGGGCTGCTGTTCTCTCGCCAGAGTGGAGCCCACAGAGCCACCTCCACCAGCTCTCATGCTACAGGGAGCGCAAGGAGCCTCGCAAAGCAGGGGTGCTACTCTGGGTGCTGCTACAAAGGTGGACACGTGCCATTGCCCAGCTGGATACACTGACAGAGCCCCCTGTGTGATGCCTGTCAGTTAGGTTCTTCCACTGTTAACAGATGCCCCACTCTGTGTGTGTGTGTGGGGGGGATCGACATTGGGGGAGTTTGTGAATATGGGAAAATTTTGTACTTTCCACTCAGTGTTGTTGTGAGCCTTAAACAGCATTACAAACATGAGGCTCTGTTAAAGAAAGCACAAGGGGCACTTTGTACTCTTCCTGCAGAGGTGTTGGGGGTTTCCATGCTCAGCAATACCCAAAACTCGGAAGGGTTGCTCAGCCTCAGCCTGCCTTGGGGTCAGTCTCAGATAATGAACACACATAAGGCTCCTGATGTTTCCAAGTCCTGCCCTTGACCTACTGCGCTGGGGGTGGGTGTGCCCATCCACAGCCTTCTTTTCACCCATTTCCCTCTCAACTTCCCCTACTGTTTGTATACTTTACTACAGTCTGTGGTCTTTCCTCACTCATTGCTTACTGAGTATGCAGCCCTGTACATGTGGGCCCGGGCACAGGTGCTCGGACTACATGGAAAAAGCAAAGTGGGTCCTCTGCCTTATGGGGTTCATACTATCATTGGAGCAACAGAATAGAGACATATATATGGTGTAGCAGCCCACAGAGAAAGAAAAAGGGTGGTGGCTGGGGGTACTACTCTAGATTACAGAAGGATGTCAGGATGGGACAGGATCTTCTACCGTAGTCCACAGGCAAGTCAAAGGCCTGAGACTGTTGGGGTTAGTGTAAAGGGTGACAGGGCACAGCATGCAGAAGAGCAGGGAAGGGAGGCTGGGCTGGATTCCAGAGAGGCTGCTTGCAGCAGGCTTTATTCTGACCATGGGGAACCACTGCAGGGATCCACTTGGGAATGCCTGGGCTTGACCGGTGGTAATGTGAAATGGCTCTAAGTCTGTTCAGTGATGGACAGGAATATGATAGTGATACAGAACAGGGCATTTAAAAAAGAGATGGAGCCTGGCAGTGGTGGCGCACACCTTTAATCCCAGCACTCGGGAGGCAGAGGCAGGCGGATCTCTGAGTTCAAGCCTAGCTTGATCTTCAGAGCAAGTTCCAGGACAGCCAGCACTACACAGAGAAACCCTGTCTTGAAAAACTAAAATATGAAAAAGATGGAACAGGATTTACTGCCTTCCCCTTAACAGCCAGCTGATCTGTCCACAAACATTTGTAGAATGGGTGAATGAAACATGTTCTCAGCAAGCATCTTTGGGGACTCGTTAGCTCAGTGGGCTTCCTTTCTAGCTGAAGGGACACAGGCAGACCAGCAAGAAGACAGAGGATCCACAAACATTTGTAGAATGGGTGAATGAAACATGTTCTCAGCAAGAATCTTTGGGGACTCGTTAGCTCAGTGAGCTTCCTTTCTAGCTGAAGGGACACAGGCAGACCAGCAAGAAGACAGAGGGTGAGAGAGAAAGTGTACAAATGCTAACTGATATATCTTTTCCACCTGTTACCACCATCCTTGCACAGCGAGGCTAAGCTGATGTCTCCCAGCAGAGCTGACTATCACAACCTGTCTGCCTGGCAAGGCTGTCACAGCCTCTCTGCCTCAGCAGGGTGGCAGCCAACAACAGCAGGGACTTCATGTGCCTGGGGTGTTGAGAAGCCAGAGAATCAAAGCTCAGCTGTCACATCTCATGCTCTCCTCCTTGCAGGCACTTTCTACACAGCAGGTGCAGAGCCCCGAGTTACTGGGGCCCACTGCCCATAGAACTAGAGGGCTGGAATAAGGGATGGTAGAGACAAGGACATAGTTGGCACTTTGAAACCTGGTTAGGGCTGAGTCTCAATTAATTCACTTATAGAGAAAGGAAGAATGACAGCTGTGAAGTAAAGGATTCTGGGCCTCAGACCAAAGGACCTAAGTCAATGCGAGGCAGACACAACCTTCTGCATCTTCCAGGCATACATTTTCTCCTTAGGTCATACCCCAAGTACCAGGAGCATCTGCTATGCAGTGTGGACATTTTTCTGATAGTTAGAACTTGTCGCCTCTGCTACACACTGACAGAACATGGCTGTGCTCCCCTTGGCTGAACATGGAAAAGAGAGCCCCACAGTGATGCTGCTGTATCCTTGTTCAGTCACAGCCTAGGGGTGACCCTAGCCCCACCACTGGCTTTCCAGAAGGACTAACTAACCCTCTCTATCCAACAATGTCACCAAACTGGGTCTCCTCAGGCCTTTGGGAACTCCTGATGCTGAGGTCCTGGTAGAGACCTGCTAGCTACATACAAAAGAACAGCAAGAGGTTCACCCTTCCAGAACTAGGAAACAGTCCCTCTCCATATTGGGCAGCAGCTCAGATGCCAGAACAGCCTGCAAGGCTAGGGATGCTTGGCTGCAGGCACCTGGGCTCTGGGAGCATCAGGGGTCCCACAGTATTTATTCAGGTGCTCCCAGTGGCTACTCTTAACAAGGAGAGCCAGGGTCCACCATGATGTCAGGGCACCGCTCTCAGTAAAGACATTATGACATCAGAACTGCCTAGTATGAGCTTGTTTTAGAGGTGCCAGATATAAGGGATGACATTTATTCATTCTTTTCCCCAAAAGCAGTCTGTGAGGCTTTCCACCCATCACTGGTGGAACTCTCCAATAGTCCCCTCTGGGAGTGAAGGACAGACTGGACCAGGAGTGAGCTCAGGGTGCTTCAAGTTCTGGGCTCTTTCACTGAACACAGAAAAATGACCCCTGCATGGGGAAAAAAAAGAAAAAAAAAGACCACTACTGAAAACAGTGGGTCTTAAGATGGAGGGCAAAGCCCATTCTTCTGGGCTTGAGTATACTCAGACCCCAGCCAGGCTCGAACCCTACACTGCCTCTCATTTGCTACCCTGAAGACTAGTTTTGGCACCCCTGAGACCTGGCCTGGAGAACTAACTATGTAAGCTTTTGCTCAGAGCCATCACATTTGAACCCTTGGTTATCCTAAGGGATCTGCATGAAAAAGTACTGTAGTCACAGCAGGATAGAACTTCAGTCACTTTCTCATGCCCCAAAAAACATTTCACCCACCTGAGACTTGAGATTAACAGAAACAATGGCCTTGCCCCATCCTCTATCTGCTACCTCCCTTTCTGCAGGCTCTGCTTGAGGAGCTCGGCCCACTCTTGTTCTAAGAGCTACAAGTGATACACTGTAACAGATACAATCCTGCCCCACACCCTAGTCCACAGGACCCTTTGATGAGAAAGAGCCCCCTGTCCCTTGCAAGGGTACAGTGCTTTGGTACAGTGGGTGGAAGGAGAGGCTCAGAAAGTGTTCCCAACTGCTGTGTGTCTTCTCAGCACAGCTTGGTCTGTAATGAGCCAGCTTACAGGACACATGGAATGAGATCACTAGCTTGCAGAGCAGCCCTGTCTCTTGGCTGGGGACCACACCACCAAGGCTAGCACAAAGCTGTGAGACATCCTGGGTGTGGGGGGTGTGGTTACAAACTAGGCCCCTCTGGTCCCAGAATGGCTCTGCTGGGTTTAATGAGGCAGGCCTTCCTTTGGAAACAGGAAGCCCTCATCAGGGAGTTAGAAGTACAATATCTAGTTTTAGGTGTTCTTGCTGGATTTATACCCAAGGTAAGAGGACCATCGGGCTGTGCAGCTGATGTGGCTATATACATCAAAATGGTGACATCTGGTCTGCCAGAGAAAATCTGAGGACAGTGTTAGTGAGGTGGGGTAGAGGGCAGGGCAGTGTGGCCTGCAAATCTAATCTCCCATGTGGAGCAGTTGGGGAGGGAGGAGAAAAGATGGAATGTCCAGAATGTTTCTTAGTAATGCTATGGCAAAATTACAGTTGGAAACCATCCAAAATACAAACAGTCCACCGTCTAGACCCACCCAGCCCAGTGACACCCATCTACTGAAACATCTAGGCCAAGAGCTATCTCAGCCCTCCAGCAAGCCAGCTCTGATCCAGGTCACTCTGAGCACCCTGTTCATACTAGCGAAACCCTGTGTATACCCAAATGTCCATCTCATGTGCATGTTACAGCAATGCTGCTCTGTGTGCCAGGACATTCAGTTGCCTTTGTCACTACGTATTCAGGCCAAAAGGATCAATGAATTGCATCTATAGAGGAGAGACACTTGGGAGCATCAGGCCGGTGATTTCAAAGACCACAAAGGAGATATGAGCTATTAGACTTTCAAGGACAATGAATAGCGACAGCATCAGGCCCCTGGAAATATCCACATGTGTACCTTTGAGACTATCCTGTCTAAAAGAATGAGGTCATGGGCTTAGCTTTGGTCTCACTCATGGGCTAGGCAAAACATAGAACTGTTTAGGTTTACAGAGTGTGTAGAGAACTTACTGTGTTTATTTTTCTTCTCTGGTAGAGGAGGTGGCTTCTCGGGGTCACCCGCTGACTCTGGAGCACTGAAATCACCCACAAACTCAACAGGGGCTGAGGAAGTTCCCTGTTGAAAGGGAAGGATAGCAGCAAAGGGCGTGTAGGGCACAGGCTGGACTGGGACCGGGTTCTGCAGGTCATCTTCTGAGATGTTGTCATACTGTGAGGGGTGTCTTTCATAGGACACCTTGCAGCCAGAACTGTCCGTAGTCTGGGAGGCTGCGCTCCTGCGCTTCTTCTCAGGAAGGGCAGGTGGAGTGTCTGTCTGCTGCCCTTCCTGCTGGGGACAGCTGCCCAGAGGCAGCTGCAAAGGATGGCCAAGAAATGGTGGCCCAGCCTCCCCCAGGGACTCCGGTAGTGGGCTGAGGCTGCAGGCCGCCTGTGGAGGGGTCTGGTCTGCATTGGAGAGGTCTTGCTGGAGGAATTCATAGTCAGGGTCATAGTGATCTACAAACCAAACAGGAAAACAGCCCTTAGCTGCAACCCTCTAGAACATCATCCACCTGTTTTGTTCAGTCCCTCTCAGAGGACAGGCGGTGTTGCTTGATCTCTTCTGTGAGCTTCTACTTAACCAGATATTCTTTTTTTTTTAAATTTATTTAGTTTTATTTCATGTGCATTGGTGTTATGTCTGTGTGAGGGTATTGAATCCCTTGGAACTGGAGTTACAGACAGCTGTGAACAGCTATGTGGTGTTGGGAATTGGACCTGGCTAGTAGAGCAGCCAGTGCTCCTAACCGCTGAGCCATCTCTCCAGCCCCTTACCTGGCTATTCTTTATCTGTCACTAACTGGAACTGGAGTTACAGACAGCTGTGAGCAGCTATGTGGTGTTGGGAATTGGACCTGGCTAGTAGAGCAGCCAGTTCTCCTAACCACTGAGCCATCTCTCCAGCCCCTTACCTGGCTATTCTTTATCTGTCACTAACTGTGGAAGTTAAAGAGGTGATGAGGTGGTCGTGTGCTATACTGGTCTCTGTGTCTTGCACTTTAATACACGCACACACAAATATGAAATATGGCTTTTTTCTTTTTGGGGAGTGGTGGTGTTCTGGGGCTTGTGTATAAATTCTATCACTGAGCTATATCCCCAGCATTTTCCAGCTTGTTTACTTAAAAAATAAAATATACAAAACTATTGCAGGAAAATGGCAAAAGATCATGAAAACTAAGAACTCAGATCTGCTCAGAGTTTACATCTTGATGCATTTTCTCAAAAGTTGTTTTTTGGGGGAGGTGGGGTTGGGAGTATTTTGTTTTTGTTTTTTCTCTTTTCTCTTTGTATAGCCCTGGTTGTCCTGGAACTCACTTTGTAGACCAGGCTGGCTTCGGACTCACAGAGAGAGATTGGCCTGCCTCTGCTCCCTGAATACTGGGATAAAAGGTGTGTGCCATGACCGTCCAGTGAAAGTTCTTAATCTTTCTTTTTCCCCAAGACCCTATCCTCACATTTTTTTTGTTGTTGTTGTTGTTTGTTTTGAGACATGGTTTTACTATGTAGCCTTAGCTGCCTTGAAATTCTCTCTGTAAATCAAGCTGGCCTGGAACTTATAAAACCCCTCCAGACTTTGCCTTCTAAGGACAGGCATGTGCCACCCTTTTCCCGTCTTTTTAACTTAACTAAGAAAACAGCATGTCGTTGGTCTCGGAGTTTGTCCATGCAGCAACATCCATGTGACTTTCACTAGCTACTGCTACTTCATCACAGCAATGTCTCACCATTCATCTGATTCTCACTAGTCACTCCTATCAGGGTCTCCAGATTATCACCAGTTAATTCTTTGTAGTTTAGCCTCCTAAGACAGAAGCCTTCCCACAATCTCTCCTTTGTGCTTAGGACACTTTCTCGGAAGGGAAAGGATCGAGTTCCCAGAACACAAACAGGTTGGTACTGGCAGGCCCCTGCCAAGTGGCCTTGGTCACTGGTGCCCAACAAGGCTAGGGAGGCTGCTTGATGCCTTCAAGCTCTGTCGATCCCTGCAGGACTCACTCCCTCACAGAAAGCCCGAAGTACACGCGGACTGAGTCAGGATGTGCGTGGCCAGGCTGCCTGTAAGGAGGGAGACTGCCTGAGCATATGCTGTATCACTTTGCTTTGTGATACATACTTTCAGTCTCTTCCAGAGCAGACACAGTCTCATTTTGCAGATGAGGAAACTGAGGTTTGGATTTTAAAGGATTTGACCAAGGTCACCTAGCTAATGCTTGGAAATCAGCTAACTCAAGCCCAGAATCAAAGGACCCAGGGAGCTTTAGAGGAAGGAGGAGGGCTGCGGTGGCTTACCTAGTGTTTCACAGCTTGTGTTTCGTGAGCACTGCCCGCTATCCCTGTCTAGGGAAGACAGCTGCTCATCTGACCGGCTGAGTTTGCCTGTGCTGCTGCAGGGGGACAAGCGAGGAGACTCACCACCACAGGAGCGGCTGCCTCCCGACAGGCGCCTCTGGGAGTAACAGTCAACATCAAAGTCCTAGGGAAGAATGCAAAGGAGCCTAGGTCATCCTGGGAAGGGCAGCAGAGAACCAGGGACAGGCAAGTGGCATGCTCACTGGCTCAGAGAGCCCCCACCCCCACCCCCCATGTCAGCAGAGGGTCTGGGTGAGACAGGAGAGGAACTAGGAGAAAAGTGGCAGTGTGTGGACAAGGATGTCCTTGGGAAATGCCCAAGGTTTGTCCACTGCCCATGTATGGGGGTGGGAGTGATGGTCATGGATTGCCCTCCCATAAGTCTCTGGATGTGACTAACAGTGGGTCTAAAGACTATCTTTAGCTAGTAGCTAGAGGTGACTTTAGCTCTAGGACTCAATCCCCAAACCCTAATTCCAGTCCCCTTCCCCAACAGAAAATGGACTGCATTACCTGCCTATTGATTCCAACAGGCAAACTGGAGCCACTGGTAGCTCGACTCATAGGGGCTACCACAGCCACTCGGGTAGGGGATGGAGCTGATTGCCTTTTCTTGGGTGGTAATGCTGGTGGACTAGAAGAGACAGAAAATCCAGGCAAACTGTACATCACAAACAGGAGTATTTTGGAATGGTTTTAGGGAACAAGACATTAATGAATCCCTTTCTCTACACCTAATTTCCACACTTTAGCTGCCTGTTTTCTTCTTGCCAATCACTATATGAATGACAAAATAACAAAACCAAAGAAGATTCTTTTCCTTCAGTAGTAAATCATTCCCGGTTTCACTAGCTAGAGAACTATGGCAAGCCATAAGAGCGCAGATCCTGTGCAAGGGCCCTGGGACAGAGTCTGGCCACCCTCAGAGACATTTCTTTCTCAATAGTGCCAACCACTGGGGCATTTAAGAGACCAAGTCCTAAGGCTTACCCCAAGCACATCACTATCCTTTTTGCTCAATCTGCCATCTTCTCCCCACATTAGGTCATAAATGGGGAGGCACTAGAAAAACAAAACAAAAAACTCCTCAGAAGGAGTTTAGGATAATTACCTGTTATCAACCACCCGAATGCCAGGTAAAGGAGGCTTGGGGGGCGCGACCTCTTCACTAGTGGAGTCTGGGAGCAGTTCAGCGGATGGTGACACACCTGTTGTAGTCTTGTTCAGAATCTCCATTTCTCGGTCTGTCAGAGGGAGCTCAGGGTGGCTGGAGAAATGGAAAGAACTGGGGCTCACACACTGTCAGTGCGCATGTGGATCCTGAGAGTGAGAGGGAGGGCTAGGGGAGTGAGGGGCTGAGGAGCAGCTCCACACAGTCCTGAATTCCCATGGACTCAGCACTGACCAGCTACCAGTCTGTTCTAAAATAATGTGTCACATTTTTAACATGGGCCAGTCCTTGAAACTATTGCAAAACAGTAAGCCTGTCCACATCTTACTCAGAAAACACCATGCCACTGGCCTTGCAGTTAAGCCCATGTGTCAACATCCCATTGATTGAGTTATACTAAAAAATCCATGACCTCCCAGAACCCCTCACCCAAGTTCTTGGGAGTTCATGGCGTAGTGACAGGTGCCAGAGGGCTAAGAACAGGCAGTCACTTCCTTTTGCACACTCTTGCACAGTTGAACTTGTAAAGTACAAGGCAACACTTTGAAACTTATGTGGAATACACACTTTAAAGCATCAGGTACTCACCAAACTTACACTGGAAAGGGAACCAGGGCTGCTCACAGTCTCTCAAATGCTTCCTCTGACTGCCTGGCTCCTACCCTTTGTCAAGTGTGGGTTCAGTCCCAAAGTATGTGCTTGGTCCCACTGCGACCTCAGTGACAGAAGTCTGCTCAGACTTACCCATCAGGCTTGCTGGCTGGGGAACTGGGCTTCACTGGGCTTGTTGGTGATGGCCGCCCCTGCTTCTCAATGGTTAGCCTTACTAGCTCCTGTACTCCAAAAGAGAGAAAGGGGGAAAAAGAGAGAGGTGGGATGATCCTACTGTACCTTCTGCAAGAGGCAGGGCTTCCTGACTTTTGTGTCCACACATTTCTCATATAGGGCAATGTGTACAGTTGCTAATGTGCCTCTTTCCCTCTAAAAATACCACCACAGCACACTGCAAAGTTTCAACTGTATCATGCACTTCCTCTTGAAAGGAGAAACGGCAAGTCTCGGTCTCTAGATGAACAACCCCTGCACACATGAATTCCTGTGCAGTCTGGGGAGGGAGGGGATGACATTTTTGGTTCCCTAAAGCTGTCATGTTATGCACAATGGTGCCCTTAGCCATCTGGTGTCTGGCTTTGAATGTTTTCCCCGAGTGCACTGGCTCAGTTGAGGCAGGAACTGGAGACCCAGTGGACTGGCTGGGAACTGTGTCAATGGACTTAGAGTGAAGGTCAAATGACTCAGCAGAGCTGGTTTTGAAAGAAAATAAACCAAATGGTACTTGAAATAGCCAAAAAGAGGCTGATCAGGGCCCTGGAGGTCATGGAGAAGGTGAGGCTAGCTAAAGCTCTAGGGACCTGTCTGTGCTTGACTCCCTCGTGCTGGGATCACAGTTGTGGCCAGCACACTTGGTTTCTGGGCACTCTGGGGATTGAACTCAAGTCACGATTGTACAGGAAGTACTTTATAGAATGAGCTTCAACTTGAGCTCAACTTCCAATCTTTGTGGAGGCCAAATTCACACACCACGAAATCCACGTACTCTAAGTGTGTGAGTCCATGTGCACAGTCCACTTCAGAACACAAACTCTGTACCTGCAGTCCCCTCACGTTCCTGCCACTCCTCCTGGCTAACCTGCCTCAGAAATCCACCTTCTTGTGTTAAATAAGCTGCCACGATTTGGGAAGCCCAGGTGTTCTTTTCCTCTGCTGAGGAGCGTTTGCTACACATAATCTCCTCACTGCTCCCTAGTGGGGGTGAATCACGCCACTGCTGAGGACATGGAGGTGGGTCACCTAGCCACATCTCCCCGCCCAGGACCAAAGGACTACCATTTCCCAAAGTAGGTTCTTCTGACAACACAAAAACTAGGAAAAAAAAAAGATGAACACACAAAAAGAAATATTAAAGAGAAATGTCACAAATGGGAAGGATGTCATGATCATGAGAGCTTCTTAAGTTTGATGGCAATAAAATAGACACTTGCAGACACAGGGTGATGTGGGGTGGGGCAGTGTCAGTGAGAATGGTGTATCATTTTGGGCAGCTGACAATGGTCTAGTGGATGACCTACTGGCACATACTGAAAGCCTCATGTATTTGTTAGGAGAATTTTGTCTGAGGAAAATGTCATGGATATATGCAAAAGCTCAGCTATGAAGGATGCAACCACTGGTAAGATGAGACTATTTAATAGCCCACAGTTATCACTCACTCCAAGTACCAAGTATGTAGATGTGACAGAGCCCAATACTCTATAGTCAATAAGGATAGAATCACAGCAGGAACATGGGTCCCAGCATGAAGAAATGGTGCAATACTGGGACTACTGACAGTAGAAAAGCCCTACCTGCTTTGTTGGGGTACAGTGTAAATTTTGGAAACAAGATCAACCTCTCCACTTTAAATTGCATCTTCTACATTTTCTAAAACACGTAGGTTAATTCTGAGAAAACTGCCTCCCCCACACCATGACAGACATGTCCATGAAACCAAACGGGGCTCATCCCATTCTGTTCTTGGAGCCATGTGGGAAGTAAGATCCTTGGGAGCCTGAGGCTAGGAAGGGGAGGGGGGGTTCTTCTACTTGTTCCCACAATTCAGAACTTGAAGTGCTAGAGGGATGAAAAGAGAAAGCAGCTGGAGGGGGGCTGCCTCCTCACCATGCCTGGGGGACATGTGACACATGAAACCAAACGGGGCTCATCCCATTCTGTTCTTGGAGCCATGTGGGAAGTAAGATACTTGGGAGCCTGAGGCTAGCTCAGGAAGGGGAGGGGGGGTTCTTCTACTTGTTCCCACAATTCAGAACTCGAAGTGCTAGAGGGATGAAAAGAGAAAGCAGCTGGAGGGGGGCTGCCTCCTCACCATGCCTGGGGAACATGCGAGAGTGGCAGAGGCAGCTTACCCCGAAAGCCCCATAGCTTTGGTTGGGATCAAGGTCACTTTCAAGTGACCTGGAAACTCCACATTCATGTAGTGTGGGCTGGCCTTGAACTCTCAATCCTTCTGCCTCAGCATCATGAGTGGGGTATTGCAGACATGTGCCGCCATGCTCAGCCAAACTCATCCAGACAAGCAGGACAAAGGAATGCAGAGAACTCTGCATATTTGTGTCTGCCAATACAGAACCAATTCCAGCTCCTCCTGATTAGGGGGCAGTTTGGGTGAGATGCTGTCCCCCTGGAAAGGGCACTGTGACCTCTAATGAGCAATAGGCAGCAGGAGGATCCTGGGATAACAAGCACACATGTGCAAGTGTGCCCCTAAATTCCAAGACCACACCATGACACAGTGGAGGCTGGGAGAGGGTCGGGCAGCTTTTCTTTCTGTCAGCCTTCCTGCCCAAACAGAAGGGCTTTGGTTTCAACTTGCCTTAATGATCACACACAGAAGGCTCTGGAAACCTCTATCATCTAGGTAGCTTCCAATACTCTGGTTTCACTGAGTGCTTGCCACCTGTGGATTGGCCAGGGCCCAACACCTCAGGAGAAGTCAAGTCTCTGCAAGGCAGAGTTTCTCAAAGCCAGGCTCTTTTTGATTGCTCTGGACTCTACTACCAACAACTATAAACTGAGATCAACTATTAGTAATAAAAATCAGTTTTCTTTTTCTTTATTTGTTACATATGCAGTGTTCTGTCTGCTTGTATGCTACAGGCCAGAAGAGGGCACCAGATTTCATTGTGGATGGTTGTGAACCATTATGTGGTTGCTGGGAATTGAACTCAGGACCTCTGGGAGAGCAGTCAGTGTTCTTAACTCTCTTAACGGCTGAGCCATCTCTCCAGTCCCAGAAAACAGGTTTTCAAAAGCCAAAAATACATTTGGAGAAGATCTTCCTCAGAACACGAAATGCTCCCATGTTCATTTTACTCATATTGACCATGACTGCAGAGATGGAAGTGCTTGAATGATTTAACAAGTCAGCACACAGCTCTGAGCTTGAGTGTCCCAGCTCCACCCTCCTCTCCATTTTCTCCTGGGGATGACACAAAGAACCCCAAGGACAGTATGGTCACTAGTGTTCCCTGTGTTCATGCTCACAGGAGGGACTATTCCACTGGAAACATACTCGCTGCACCTTGAACCTTTCACTCTACCTCAGACCCCCATCAATCACCCCATCCATCTACTCTCTGGGTATTATGCCAGGGCACAAGAAATCTGCAGTTATACACCAAGGCTCAGTGCCACTATCTAGTTCTTCACATACTTTGTAAGAGGGTCAGGTCAGGCCTGATACTGGCCAGTGGGGACTGGGGTGGATTCCTGTGACAAAAGCTACAGGACATGATCACAGGAGTGTCCAGCCAGAGTGACTTTGTTGTTGTTTTGCTCTGTGTTTTTAGACAGGGTCTCTCTGTAGTCCTGGCTGTCTTAGAGCTCTGTAGACCAGCTGACCTCCATCCCAGAGATTCTCCTGCCTCTGCTTCCTGAGTGCTGGAATTGAAAGCATGTGCCACCACATCCAGCCCTGTGTGGCTTAATGGAGACAACAAGGGATCTTTTCTGCCCACATCAAAAGTGGCAGCGAGAAGCAGCAAGTTGAGGAAGTGTTCTCAGCTGCACACACAGCCAAAAAGCAAAGGGCTTGACACAGGAGGCACTGATGGAGATGGGTAACAACTGTCTGAGGAGCAACTGGCATTCCTTACACAGGTCTAAAACAGGGGGCTTCAGGTGCCACACTATAATGGGATGCGCGGGATCAGCTAGGGAGCTGCATAAACATTTATAACAAGCAACACGGGCAGAGGATACTAGGAAGCACTCCTGATTCTGAAAACCCTACATACAAGGAAGGTGACAAGCCTTGTACAACAACAATAAGGGAAGGTTTCTCTTTCAGACACAGTCTGGCTATTGACGGAAAACTGGTAGGAGAAATCACCTTACTTGTCATAGCCTGAAAACTCTGGGGCACAGTAGCCACCGCCACCAATTACTGCCCTTAACAAGGTTGGAAGCACAGTGCTATCTAGGAAGCTTCCTTTCTCTACTAACAGACCAAGAGGGCTCCAGCTTTATAGGATTCCAAGGGGCTGAGGGACATGCTGAGTAGCACACTGTCAGCTTTCAGGGGCAATAACTCACTTCTCAGCACCACACAGGATAGCTTACAACTGCCTGTAACTCTGGCTCCAGGTGATGTGATGTCTCCTCTGGCCTCTGTGGGCATTGCACCCATGTGGCGCACACAAAGACAAGCAGGCACACACACACATAAATAAAAATAAAATTTAAAATAAACCAAAGCCCCAAAGTTTCAAGAAGGAGACATCCACCTGCTGCTACTGCTGCACAAGGAGATGCTGCTGCACAGAGACTCTATCTGGGTCCTAGATTTTAGAAAGCAAACCTTTTAAAAACAGCAAACCTCGCCAGTCAGCGGTGGCACATACCTTTAATCCAAGCTCTCCGAAGGCGGAGGCAGGCAGATCTCTGTGAGTTCAAGGCCAGCCTTGTCTACAGAGTGAGTTTCAGGACAGCCAGGGCTACACAGAGAAACTCTGTCTTGCAAAAACAAACAAACAAAAACCCCAAAGAAAAAAGTGAGCCACACCCTGAAGGCCAAAGCCAGATTTGTTTCTAGAACACTTTCAAGGTTGGACTGGCTCAAACAACAAAAGCACCAAACAAGGACTGTGCTACACAGACTGTCTGTGAACTGAAAGTCTTAAAATATTTACCGCAAGGCCCTTCCAGAACAAGATGCCCTACACCAGGAAGAAAGTGTCACTTGGGATTTGCACCCTGCAGTCTCAGGAGCCAGTTGACTGAAGAGAAGAAACCAGACTGGCCATGAGGGGAACTGGTGGAGCCTGATGCAACTCTGGCCAATAAATGTAAGAGAGATTCTGTGAGAAGCTCTAAGAAGCCTCCTTAAAAGGAGAAGCTACAACGCCCAACTCCTCTTTCTCCTCTGAAATGTAGCAATGGTAGCTGGAGAGGAAGCAGCTACTCTGAATCACTGGGCAGAATCCATGTGCTAATGACAGCAGGAACGTGGGATAGGCACATCCCTGATCACTCAGAAGACCTCACACTAGCCTTTGTCTATCTCTGATCTTTACATATGAAACACAACATTCTGTTTTTGTGTCGTGGGTGGAGGCCAGAGGTTAATCACTTTCCACATTACTTTTGAGATAGGGTCTCCTTTTGGATTGGGAACTTGCCTACCTGGCTAGACTATTTCATCACCAAGCAACCGACCCTGTCTGTCTTGACTTGACTTCCCCTAGTGTTAGGAAAATGCTGCTGTGCCTCGTTTTTGTTTGTTTTTTTTTTTCATGGTGTTCAGGATCCATTCAGAACTTAGCCCTACACGTGCAGTTCATATGGCAAGCACTTCACAGATTGTGCTCAAACCCTTCAAAAGTTTTATGTCTAATTTTTTTCTTTTACACTGATGGATGGGTCGATTGTGTGTGTGTATGTGCGTGTGTGCCATGGTTCCCATGTGGAGGTCAGAGGACAATTCGAGGGAGTCAGTTCTGTGACTGAGGTTTGGCAGTGAGCACACTTCTCTGCTGAGCCATCTCTCTAGCCGCAGAAGTCTTTAAATGCTTCTCCCTTGGTTGAGCTTTCTGTCCTGGCTGCTATAGTTAGAAAATATCCTTTCCTCTAGGTAGTCCTTTGTGTCAAGAGCTGTGTCTGCTATGCAAGCCCAGTGAAATGACAAAACTATGGCTCCCCAAAAGCTTTCAGTAGAAGATATTATTATTATTATTATTTTCTGTGTATGTGTCTGTGTGAGTGTCTGGATGTTCACAGAGGTCAGAAAAGGATATCAGATCCACCTGAGCTGGAGTTATGGGTGAGCTACCTGATACAGATGCTGAGAACCAAACCAGCAGGAAATGCTCTCAGCTACTGAACCATCTCTCCAGTCCCTATTATTATTATTTTAAAGTATAAACATTTTTAGTCTATATGAGTTGCTGGAGGCTGGTGATACAGAAGGCTGGAAGGGAGGTCCTGACATCTCCAAGGGCAAAAGGTATCATGTCTGAAGTCAGAAGAAAAGTGGGCATTTAATTGGCAGAGTCGGGAAGACGCAGAATTGAGCTGCTCTAGAGGGAGCCACAGTTCTCATCCAAGACTAGTAAATGTGAACTACTCTGGTGACCGTTTCTGCAGTCAACAGTGCTCACCCCTGCCTGCTGGCCACCCAACACTTGCCAGGTACTTCATAGACAACATCTTCTCTTCCCTCACACCTTCGTATTTAAAAACCTACAAGAATCTCAGAGGAGTCACTTGTCCAAGGTTACAGAGCTAGCAGCATTTACGTGAAGATTTATGTGGCAAATGGCAGTACTCATGTAGGAACAAAATCAAAATAATCAGCCTTCCAACTCATTTCCAGTCTTTACTCCCTTCCCCCAAAAGAATTCCATTTAACAACTGAATGAGCTCCTTAAGGAATGGTGAGTCAGTTTGTAGGAATGAACCATTTCTGCTCCAAACAGGATGAAGACAGAAGCCTTCATATCTGCACACGCCAGGCCCTCCCAGCTGAGGCAGCTTCCTCACACTCCAGGACATGGGCTTATAAGGTGTCCTTGTTATGAGGACCCTTTGGGTAAATCTCCTAGGAGGGGGCAGCAGAAGAGGGTGACTCAGTGCCTAGGTCCAGCAGATATGTATGGAAACCATAAGCTTGCCACTGACTATGGCCCACCAATGAAGATGCCTACCTCAGAGGCTGTTACAAGGATAAAGCTGGCCAGTGTAAAAAGGCACCCAATAAATAGGCTGGGCAGTGGTGGTCCATGCCTTCAATCCCAGTACTTGGGAGGCAAAGGCAGGTGGATCTCTTGTGAGTTCAAGGCCAGCCTGGTCTACAGAGGACAGCCAGAGTTGTTCCACAGAGAAACCCTGTCTTAGAAAAACCAAACCAAACAAACAACATCTAGCAATTACTTGCTACTTTATTATAAGATTCTATCACAAATGCCAATTTCACTCCTTTACTCTAGGAGAAGCTTCTCATACCACAGGCTGGCTGAACTGCTTTCCTTAGAGATGTTTCTTTGAGCTCCTTGTTCTTCCATTAGCACAAACACTCCTTGCTATGGCATGCGGCATCCTTTTATGTAACTGTGGACATTTCTTTGTCAGTAAATGATAAGCTCCCCAAAGCTAGGGCCTGTGCCACTGTCATTCGCCACCGTGTGTGCAGGTCTGTCCCACTGCAGGCACCCAGGAGGCGCTTGATAATGCTCAACAATAAACAAGACAAACTGAATAGAGAGTCCCTCACCTACTGGATCTTTGTTCTGGCTAAAGCATCCAACCACGTGTGTATATGCTCGCCTGCATGGCCATGTGTGTGATGGTCAGAGGACAACTCTTCCCAGTCTGTTCTTTCCCATCTCTTGGCTCTGTGGAGCCTTCTCCTCACCCCTGTTCTGGTTAAGCTATTTTTTTTTTTTTTTTTTTTTTTGCAACGCCCGGTGGTTAAGCTATTTTTAATAACAACTGTGAAAAAGTTATTTGCTCAGGTTCTGGCAAGTTCAAGTTCCACAGGCTGCATATGTGTGCTCCCATCTCCCCAGTGTCACATGGAGAAAGCAGCAATTTTCCAAATATGCCTTCTTCTGACCAGTACAGCCATGCTTTCATGATTCCATTAGGAGCATGTAGTCTGGAGTGTCCTGAAGCTCCTGTGGAAACCTGATCTCTTGCTTCAGTTGTTCTAACTGTTATGGCATTTCACTGAGATCAATCTGATGGAAGAAAACCTAAAAAATGTCACCTGGAAAATAATTTTGGTTTCCAGAACTGGGGCAGGAGAAGCAAGGGAGGGTGAGGCAGAACTCGGCCAGAAAGCATGGGAAGGTCAGGTCGCTCCTTGCCCACTGACGGACTGAAAGCATGGGAAGGTCAGGTCACTCCTGCTGCAGGAAGGACTGAGGGTATAAACTGACAGTGCCCCAAATTCTATAGTGCTACTAGAGTCAACACCCACAAGCCTCATTAGTTAAAGCAGATGACGAAGTCTGATGACTCTGTGATGGGAGCAGCAGAGGAAAAGCTTGCTGTCAGCTTGCCATATGTCCTCCCTCAAAGTGAACCCAAAGCTCCCTGTAGACAGAGCAGCCCTTACTTTAAAGAACATAGCCCATTTGGGAGTGATTTCTCTCACCAAACAAGGCCTCCTTGGCCTCCTCCCTGTCACTGAAACCCTTTGGGGTCTTTGTTCTATTTTCCAAGCTTCTAAAGAACACACTAAGAGGCATGTTTCAGGGATCTCATAGCCTGGCTAAGCAGAAAAGTCTTTCTGACCCAGGCTAGCTAATGTGGTTATAATTTTGGATTAAGGGTCCATAAAAGGGACACAGCTTTTCCAAGCCACATCTATAAAGCATGTATTTAGCACCACATAACTAATAATGAGCAGTCATGAGTGCCTATAAGCTAGTGTATTCCAGGCATTGTTCTAAAAGCACCCTGTATTAGCTAACCTAACCCTGCAATGCTACGATGCAGGGCACCGCTGTTACACTTGCTTGTGGGGTGTGTTCATGGGCGTCATCAAGATGAACTAAGGTAGCAAACTGCCCAAGTCTACCAACTACTGAGTGGTGAACTTGGGATTCAGAGCAGGCCAGATCCTAGACTGGCCTCTCAGAGCAGCTCCTCCAGCCCACTGCAAAGCCCTTTCCATTGTGTGCCCTCTACTCTTCTTTGCTTCTCACCTACTAGGATATATAATTGTAGTTTGGCTTCTGGGCCCCAATTCCAGGCTCTGCTGTAACTGTGACTAACTGTGACTCCTAATCTCCTTTGAGGCTATTTGCAATGGCCCAGATAGTAAACATATTGGCCACATCATAGAGATCAAGTACATTCTGTTTTAACCACTCAACCCTGCTTTTCTACCAGGAATCCTAGATGTTCCTATGACATGAAAAGGTAATGGTTGAGGTACTCAGAGTTTTGCTAAAAGCCAGTACAAACAATCTCCATTGCATCATGGCAAGCCGGTACATGTTCTCAGCCAGACCTGGGACATACAGCCCACTGAGGACTGAACAGGAAGGGCTGATGGTTTCTGGCAGCCTAAAAATGAAGAAGTTATTGGGCAGAACTGGTCCATACCATAGCTCTAGAAGATATGGTCTATACTCAAGTTCATATCTTCCCACAGGCTGGCTGCCCAATTAGGGCCATCTGAAACTGCCCATTACCTTCACTCCATCCAGCACGGCTTTGATGACCCCTTTCACAGTCGTCACCATCTCTTTATCTTCTGAGTTCACACCCTCTAGCATCACCTGGTCAGACCATCGGATGAGGTTGGCGAGACTCTGGTATACTCGGCTATAGCAGGAGGAGAGGGCTGAGCTACAGGGAGGAGAGGGTTAAAGAGCATTAGAAAACAGTCTGCATCATGACCCTTCTTCCCAGGAAGCACTCATGAAGACCAGCATCTCAGTGTCCAGGGAACATTTCTATAAAATCCTTTTTTTTTTTTTTTTTTTTTTGAGACATGGTCTTGCTCTGTAGTTAAGACTAGCCTTGGCCTGACTTCTTAATTCTTCTGCCTCAGCCTCCTGAGTGCTGAGATTATAGCAAGTGTCATAGTGATCCAGTTGATTAATCTCTCCTTCCCTCTCCCTCTCTCTCTGACTCTGAGACAGGGTATTTCTTCTATGTAGCCCTGGCTGTGCTGGAACTCACTCTGTAGACCAGGCTGGCCTTGAACTCACAGAGATCCACCTGCCTCTGCCTCCTGAGTGCTGGGATTAAAGGTGTGGGCCACCATGCCTGTAAGGTAAGTCTTCTTAAGGAATTCAGAAAGGGTTGCTGTTCTCATTTCAGACTTTACACATTGTAACAGAAGAGCAAAAATAATCACTCCCTCACTCATAAAGCTGACACTTAAAAACCAAGGGTACACTTTAGATAAGACAACACAATATTGTAAGATGTGACTGAAGCAGGCTCTAACACCTAAGGTCTTTAAGCCCTGTACCAATGAAGCTCTTTGCAAGTGCAACAGCATAAACGAAGGAGTTACACTGTCTGGCAGCCATGACTGCACTTTGCAGTCAGCAAGAAGAAAAGCAAACCCGCCCCTCCAGCCCCTGAGAAAGAGGGGAGCTGGCCAAAGAGCCTGGAGATGGAGTCAAGGGCTCACCAGGATGAGGTAGGAAGGGGGCTCTCCCCTCTGGAAAGGGTGACCCAGTTCTGCAGTCTGTCTGGCAGGTCAGGTGTCCCTGGGGGCACCACTACCCCAGGTCCTCCGAGTGTTCTGTTCTTTACCCCCCCCCCTGCCAATCTCACTGTGTTCCTCCAGCATCTTCTTTTCCTTCTCCTCCAGGAAACAGAGCAGGACCACTGCAGCTCTCTCACTGCTTTCTCCAATGAGCACCTCATAATCATCACTTCATCACATGGTGGGGAACCAACTTTTGAACTGATTTTAACTCTTCCCTGGTGAGGGGCTATCACATGGGAACAGAGGTGTGACAGTATCTAGAGATAGCTAGCTGACATCTGATGGCCTAATGTCAGGCTCATTTTCTCAAAGGAGACCACTGAGCTTCTATGGGGTGAACTAAGGGAGAGCCACAGGACAGACAGTAGCACCAAGCCACCAGCAGCATGGAGAGCCATAGGCCACAATTCTCAGGGGTCAGCCAGCAGAAGCTGGTATGGAAGCTCCAGGAAAAACATTTCTTAGAAATAAAGACACATAATTTGTTGTATCTCTCAGAAGAAAATTGTGAACTTCATTGCCAAGTTCTGAAAGCCATTCATAAAAGCTCAGTCTCATGGGGCTAAACGGATACCAAGCTGCCTTCAGAAATTCACGCAGAGATGCATCAATGAACAGGCACAACTGACAAAACCTCAGACCTGCCAGCATCTTCAGAAAAGTTCCTGCCAGCTTGGAGATTGCATCTAGCACCGCTTTCCTTGTTATACTTAACAATAAACACGAGGCAAGCTAACCTGTAAGGAGAAAATGCACTTTAGCAATAAAGGCTGCCTGGGAGGTCCTGGCCTGCTACAGGCCAGGGTTTCATACACCTTGATTTATCAGATGGTAATCTCAGCAGCTGAGGACTTGTATGACAGGACTGAATGCCATGGTAAGTGATGATGGAGGCTCTGAGAGTATGTCCAACTCACCATGATCACTGCTAGTACGCTAATGCAAAGGATGCAGCCCCAGCTCAGAGGGTCGTGCATGTGCTGGGACAGTGGTGTCAGCCAGCATACAGGCCTCTGGAGGAGCCTCAAGGCTGGGAAGTGGGGAGCAAGTGGAAAACTCCTTTCTTCCCCTTACTGTTTCAAATGCCCCCAAACCAAGGTGCCTCTAAGCTTCCACTGCTGTCACAACTAACTTCAAGGGGACTCACCTGTGCTGGATCCGAGGGTCAGTCTGTACCAGGGGTAAGATGGCCTCCAGCACCTTGCTGGCTGACCCTGGAAGCATCTCCAGAACCTTCTTATCAATGGCCATTTTGTCCACAATGGTCTTAAAGTAGCGCAAGGCACTGACAACCTCCTTCTCTTTCTCCTCCAGCCAGCACAGGTTCTGAAAGGGAATGTCATGCTTAAGGAATGAGAAGAGATTGAAGGGAGCTATTCTGAAAACAGTAAAATCTATAAGCTAGCTTGACACTCCTGCAAACGGAAAAGGTTCTGGCGGCACAGACAAAGTCAGATGGTTTCTCTAAGGACTATGATCAGGAGACAGAGGCTAGCAGGAAGAGAGACAGGTTTAGGACTAGAAGGGTCATTTAGAGACTTGGGGGTTCCCTTCCCACACTCTGAGATCCTGAAAACACTTTCTCAATATTCTAATGGCTATCTGAGAGAGCACTTCCTGTCTCCCAGCATGTGATGAGCCTCAAGGAGGACACAGGAGGCAACAGTCATGCCCCAGGGCACATAGACTCATCCCAGAATCAGATTCAGGATCCAGAGATTCAGGATTTGAGGGACTGGAAGCATTCACAGCCCATCCTCCACCTAGATCCCCACACAGTCCTACCCAAACCTGGAGCTCCCTCCCCAGGAAAGAACTGTTACTAGTAATCCAGTAACTATTGGCTGCTAACAGCATTTGGGCATTCTGATTCCAAGGAAAGCCACCTGGTAACAAACAAACAAACAAACAAACAAACAAACAAACAAACAACCCCCAAAACTCCACAGTGCCTGTGCTTTCCAGAACTCATCCTCCTAACCCCATTCTTGTTTCCCCCTTGGCTGCAGGTAGTCTTGGGTATACACTAGCAGGCCATAGTGCTCTAGATTCCTTTCCCCAACCTCCCTTGTCCAGCAGCTCAGATCCCAGGGACGGCAAAAGCAGACATTGAGAGCCATCTGGAGTGTGTAATTCCACAAATGGACAGTCCATACAAGAACAGACTACACATTTAGTGAAGTGAGGAGGTATGTGGACACCTGTACTCTCCTAAGGTCCACAGAGTACAAATAATGGAAACCGAGGGCAAAAGATGCTACCAAAAATGTTGATTTAAGTAATAATCTATAAGTATGTGAATGGCAGAAATATTATAAAAAGTGATTATTCTTCTGAATACTAATCTCTCCTGTCCTCAGATGTCAGGGAATATCATTTAAAAATTAAAAAAAAATAAATCAACATGGGAGGCTATCTCATAGGAATACCAAAAGAAATATCTATAAGACCACTGGGTGGTGGTGGCTCACACCTTTGATCCCAGCACTCTGGAGGCAGAGGCAGGTGGATTTCTGCGAGAAATATCTATAAGTAGATGGAATCAAATAAACAGTTCTTTAGTCAGCTATCTTCCAAAGGCCTGGAGTGAGTTCTCGGAGTGCTCTGTCTGCGGACCACCAAGACCCCACCCTTCCTGTCCTTCACTGTTCTCCTCCTAGCGCTACCTGACATGTTCATTTCTTGTCTGTCTCCAAGAGGCTGAGCACTGGTTTTTCTACTGCTCAGCTTCACCGCAGGCCACCCATGGTTAGGACAGCCTGAGGAATCAGGACTCCCAGTGCTGGTGACAGGAGGAAGAGGATAAACACTGCTGTCTTGGCACATCAGAAAGTGCCAGAAGGCAACAGTGATGAAACTTGGTGAGGAGACAGGAAGTATTTTAGGAAAACATGCCACACATACAGGCAAGGGTGAAGGGAGAGCTGAGATGGGAAACAGTTGAAAGTGCAGGCACTTTAGAGTGGAAAGACTTTTCTTGTCACCAAGGAGACATCAAATCAGCCACACAATAGCCAGGCTAACAGAACTCAATAAAGGAGCTAAGTAAGACTATCTGTTACCGTCCACCAAACTCCACACCTGAGTGAATGGTCTCTGAATGCTCTGCATTCCCTGAGCCCTTCAGCTGTTGAACTGTGATCAGCAGTCAGAAAAGTGCATAACATATAGCATCAGCTGACCTGGGGACTCAGTGCTGTGGCTAAGCTACAGAGTCACCCACCTCAGAGTGACAGTCAACCTTCATACCTCTTCCACCCCAGGGGAGCAGTTGCTACCACCTGTCCTCACAAGCTTGGTAACTCTGTGAGACTGTCAATCCTGGGAAGGGCCTAGACCTAAGGCTAGGCTGGACTTGGGAACAGTAGATTCCAGTTCCTTGTCTGTGGAACAGGTGAGAGCATCTGCCCTATGCTATTAAAGAAGTCACAGTGTGAGTGCAGAGCACTCACCTAGCATAAGAAAGGCCATAGGTTCCATCCTCAGCACTGAAAAAGTCACAGAAACAAAAGGAAACACAGAACAACCAAGTGGACGATGAATGGGCAAGTATGGAAGTCACTAATAACATTTAAGAGATGCTATATCAGGGTCAGAGGTCATATCTCTACTAGTGAAAAGGCAAGGGAGGAGGACAAAGGCTGTAAAAGTTTCAGTGGGGAGAAAGGGCCAGGTGCCACAGAGTGTTCCAAACCACCCACAGAGCTCTGCACTTTGGATACATCTGTTCAGTTCAGGCTGTTGCCTCCCCACAGAACAGATGCTATTATTGCATAAATGGGGAAACTGAGGCTAGGTGGGGAGTGGGTAGGATAGGTAACCTGCCCAAGATCCCACAGCTGAGTGACAAAATTACAATACAAACCTGGTATGTTTCATTCCACAGTCTGGACAGCACAAAAACAGACAGATCAAAAGTGTGGTAGAAACTGGTATGGCGGTGCACACTCAATTCAAGCACTCAGAATGAGACCAGCCTAAGCAACATGGTTAGACCTGCTCTCATACACCTGGTCCCAGCAACACAGGAGGTAACTGGAGATCTGGATCAGCCTAGACAACATAGCAAACAATGCTGTAACACACACACACACACACACACACACACACGTTCAACACTTTTATTTAATGAATAAAAAAAAGGGGGGGGGACACAAAGGTAAGTGGAAGCTGAGGTCATTTTCCTGCCTGGTAGTAGTGACAGTTCAACACTTTTATTTAATGAATAAAAAAAAAGGGGGGGGGACAAAGGTAAGTGGAAGCTGAGGTCATTTTCCTGCCTGGTAGTAGTGACACCACAGCACCTGTGCTTTTCTGTCTTAAGCCACTGAACAGGGCAGCCACAGAGGAAAAGGATGGGATACAAACTGGCCTGGGTTTTCAGCTACTGCCTCACATCAGAGCAGCAGTAGATATCCAGCTTGCACTTGCAGCCTTGTCTGCATCATGGAAATGAAACTGTGTTCATAGCACTGCAGGACAGTCAATCAGGTAGTTGTGGGCTAAATCATGGCTGGGGAGCAATTAGAATCAGCATACAAAAGACTAGAATCAGGTTGCATTGATGGTGCATGCCTTTAGTGCCTGTGCTTGAAGGTAGTGAGGTCTCGGTGAGTTTGAGACTAGTCTGGTCACATGGCAAGTTTCAGGGCAGTCAGGACTACAACACAACACAGCACAGCAGAACAACAAAAACTGGAACCAGGATCATGTAAAGAAAACTCAACATCTTTCCTTCCTCTGTACCTGACAGCCAGGCCCTGCAGAAAAGCACATCTAACAGAGCTCAGTTGTGCCAGGCTCCGGGGCAGAGGTATCTCTGCTGACTTCACATAAGATCTGCAGAACTGAAAGGGAAACCCCTTTAGAAGTCCACAGGAGGCCCCAGGACCCAGCCGCTGTCTAGATGCCCCAAGAATTGGAGAACTAGCCCATTCTGAGCTACTTCTAGACACTGCAACTGATATACAGAGATGGTTGGCTTTGGGATGTTACTAAACTTTTTCTGCTACTTTTAACAATCCACAGCTCACTGCTAGGCTTGCTACAAGGTTAAAAAATAACTGAACTTTACTATGAGAGGACTATTGTGTCTAGATGAAACCAGGCTGGAAAGACAGTGGGAGACAGTGAGCAAAACAGACTTAATCAGAAAATTTGGGTCACAGCCAATACTGACTATTAGCTCTCTCCACATGGCTGGAGCAGAATAAATAAAACAACAGGTGTGAAACCACAGGGACAGACAGGGGCTGGGCAAGGAGAAACCCAGGAAGCGGCAATAGCTGGGATTTGCATTTCCAACTCCTGTGCTTCAAATCCCACGATTTCACCGGGAAAGCTACAAGTGGAATAATACGACATGGGTACGCAAACACTCTGCAAGAGGTGACAGAATGAACAGCAGACTATAGCAGGCAGCAGCAACCTTCCCACACTGTAAGTTTCTGGACACTGTCCTCTCACCTATGTGCTGTGGCAGGTTCCATCCTGGGGCCTGCACTAAACACCAGTCCACACTCATGAAGGGCTGAGCTCTATCCAACCCCCACCTGCAGCTCCTGCTATGGAGCAGGGCTCACCTCAGTATTACAAACATCCAGGGCCTTGAAGGAGGCACCCTGCTGCTACAGGACGGTCACCAGTGCTGCTGGCTCCCATCTAGTGTATATCCAGCAGCTCCTGTTTCACACACCATGATGACAACTGAAAATGTCTCAGGCATTGCTGGGGCTTGCAGACACCTCACTAACTGAAGGGTATGTTTCTGTCAAATTTTCCTCCATGACCTTTCTTTGGACAATGCGTAAAGAAAAGATTCCAGAACCAACTGGCTCAATATTTTCCTATCAACATTCACTTGCAGAGCAAAGCTGTCTGCCAGTTATGCTGCACAGCTTAAATGTGTGAGCTCTAAGAGTGTGCTGTGCATGCTATGACACAGGACAAACCTCTCTCAGCTCAGGGCTCTTCCACACCAAAGTAGCACACCTGATAAAATGCCAAGTACCGCCCTCTTGCTCATAGGCAGTAATTAATCCAACAGAATTTCTGGGCTTACAAACCCTATTAACTAGACTTTTAAGAAACTCTGCTTGGGGTTGGAGAGATGGTTCAGAGGTTAAGAGCATTGGCTGCTCTTCCAGAGGTCCTGAGTTCAATTCCCAGCAACCACATGGTGGCTCACAACCATCTATAATGAGATCCTGTGCCCTCTTCTGGTGTGCAGGCATAACACCGTATACATAATAAATAAATCTTAAAAAAGACACTCTGCTTTCCACACAAACAGGGTAGTGTTTGTGAGCCACACCAAACTGACAGCATTGACAGTTCTGCATTCATTTGCCCTTGGACGGTCACAAGGGAAGGAGGAGCAAGCAGTTCATCTACAAAGCTTGTTACATCGATACATGTATTTTTTTAATGTAAAGCAGTGTACCAAGATGAACATTTAGTTTTGTGAGACATTAACAAACACATTTGGGCTTGATTTTTTAAAGAAGACATATAGCAGCTGGGTGTGGTGGCACACACCTGTTTTCCTAGCATTCAGGAGGCAGAGGCAGAGGCACGAGGACTGCACTTTAAGACTAGCTTAGGCCATGACACGTCTCAAACGAAACAACAAAACAAAACCCTGGACTGAGGGCATAGCTCCAGGTAAAGCTTTTGCCTAGGATGCATGAGGCCCGGTATCAGACCCTTGGCACCACAAAAAACCTCAGTCAGGCTCTGGGGTCAACAGTCTGCACTCAAGTCCTGACTTCACCACTGCTTTGTGACTTTAACTAAATGCTCCCCATCTTTAGAGACTCAGTTTCTTTTTAAGCAGGGGAGGTTTGCACTGTCAGGGATGTTGGGAAGAGAGGTAAGCACTCAGCACAAGGCTGGAAAGAGGCCCTGTCAGTGCCAGTGTTGGGGACACAGGTGCAGTGGGCTGTGACAGCATCATCTCAGCAACTCTGGGAAAGAGTAGCCACTCTGGGAAGGTGATGCTTGCCCACTACCCCGCCTGCTGGAGTCCACTCTTGAAAGGACCCAGACTTTGGCTGTGAAGACTGAGCTCCCTCCCCGTTAATACCACTCAGATAGATGCTTTCATTTAAGAATTATATCAAATACTTGAGCCCACAGTTGCCACCCAGCTAAGACACAATGACACTGCCACAGGTATTTTTCCATCCCCAGACCAAGGACCAGAGTTCTGCAGTGGAAGGCAAGGCAACCCCAATTGTTCTTAATGTCACACTGACCTTCTGCCTCTGAGACCTGGAAGCCACAGCACTGGTGGACATAAATTCTACTGCCTGCTGCTCCAGATCCAAGGGGATAGGGTAGCCCTCTGGTAGAAATCTGTCTCTTGCCTCCTGGAAGAGAGGAAACCTGGATTCCTACAGAGCTTGAAATGGACGTTGCAGGCTGGAGGGAGGGGTTGATGGCAATCAACAGCTGCTCCACACATCTGGCTCAGCTGGCCCTGCTGAGGTTACTAGTGCTGGTGGATGTCTTTAGATGGGATTCAGAGCCCAGGCCCTGAGGCTGAATGACTGGTTCAGGCCATCAGAGCCCTGGGTGAGAGTACCCCAGGGCTTCTGGGTGGGAGGCAGCACCAGGTGTGAGCACAGTGCTCTGAGCTACTTTAAATGCCCAGAGGGTGATACGGAACTGTCCAAGCCATTGGCTGGATTGATTAGCAGGACAGGCACACACCATCCTAGAGGTCCCAGGTCCCAGGGACACAGATGGCCCTAGTAAGCGCACTTACGCACAGTGCAGCCCCCACTGCTGGCGGAAGGCTAGGGCCAGGAGAACACCTAGAGATGCAGCTTACTTTGCTCACAGGCTTGTCGGGAATCTTCGACACTTCGGCTGGCTTTCCCTTCTTGGATGGTGTTCTCTTGATTTTGGGAGAGTGGAATTTGTCCATCAGCTTCATGGTGAAGGAGGAGAGATGAGAACGCTGAGAGTCTGAAAACACAGAGGCCTGGCTGTTAGAAGAGGAGGCATGAGAAGCTGTGGCTCTCTTGTGGGATGACTAGAGTGCTTATGTTAGGATTTCCTTCTTGAAAGGAAAGATTCTAATGAAAGGGCATATGATCCAGTCTGACACTCCGCTTACACAGGTCGGCTTCTACAATTTCTACCTGTTTTAGGGTGACTAGAATCCTGAGCAATAGAAGCAGGCAGGATGGGTATTAAGAAGAACTTGCGCTAAAATGTCAGCATGTCTTTGTTGGTTCCATATGAGCATGTAGTCAATGTTCAAGAGAAACAGCTAAACACCCATGGATTCAGAGAGGGGTAGATGTTAACAAGTAGCAGGCAAGGACTTTGTAACCAGTCTCCTATTCTTAGGTGTAGGGAAGTACAAGTGACGTTGACACGGTCCAGTTCCTAGAGGTGGCAGCAAAGACAGAAATGGAAGCATGGTGTCAAAATCCCTCTGGTCTAAGATAAAAGACTGAATGACTTCCTAAGAGTAAGGCAAGTCAAGGATGTTGTCACTGTTCCTGGTTGGCATGGCATTATTAGTTTCTTACAGGGTAATTAGTAAAGAGGGGAAAAAAGGTACCCAGCTTACAAGGAAGAGTGACATTTTCTGTTTCTATGTCTGTTTTAATCAAGGTCTCACTATGTGGCTCAAGATGCCCTCACAGTGAAGTTGCCTGACTCGGCCTTTGGAGTTCTGGGTCACTGGTGTGCAGCACCACACACACTCTCTACTCGGAGCGATGGTGTATGGACACTCTTAAAGAGCTCTGCTAACACTGGGTAGGGACAGCTCAATGGAGACTGTAGTGCTTGTTTTGTGTGTATATGACCTGGGCTTTGCCCTCAGAACCATAACAAAGAAAGAAGTAAATAAAATGCCACAGCCTCATGTAGTGGTACATCTTTAACCCCAGCACCTGGGAGGCAGAGGCAGACAGAGTTCTGTGAGGTCCAGGCCACTCTGGTCTACATAGTAGGTTCTAGGCCATCCAGGGCTATATAATAAGATCCTGTCTCAAAAGAAAACAAAAAAACTATCAATACTAATAAATTCAGTAAGGCCACAGGATACAACACCGACATATAAAAACTATTTGTACTTTTATACAGCAGCAATGAAAATTCAAAATGAAAATTTAAAAACCCTTTAATTTATATCAAAAAGGACATCCTTGGACATAGATTTGGCAAGAGAAATCTCACACTTTGCAAACTATAAAACACAGCTGAAATCAGAGACAACCAAAATATGTGGGGACATATCCATGTTCTTGGATCAAATGGCTTAGTATTGTTACAATAGTAATATTTCCTAGTACAACTTGTTACCCTAAAGAATCCTGCTAGCTTAATTTTTCTGGTAAGAGGTGACCCTCTAATCCTAAAATCAGTAAGGAAATATGAGAGATCCAGACAGCCAAAACAAATAGCAAAGCTGGAGGACCAATACATCTCAATGTAAAAATTAAGCCACATTAATAAAGATACTACAGTACTATAGCATAAAGATAGACACATGGATCCAAGAACAGAATTGAAACTCCAGTTCACATGTCTATGCTGATTTTCAACAAAGATATGGATGGTGGCCATTGAATGGGGAAAGGGACAGTCACTTCAACAAGCAGTACTGGGGTGAGTGAGCACTTGTCTGTAAAAGAATGAATCGGGACCACTACCTTACACCACATGCTAAAATGAACTTCAAATAAGTCAAAGATCTAAACTTAAGAGTTAAAACACTTAGAAGAAAGTACAGATGGTTTTATGGCCTTGGATTTGAGCGCACTCTTAGCTGTAACACCAAAAGCACAAGGAACAAAAATAAATATAGATACATTAGAATTTCATGAACATTAAAATCTGTGCTGTGATGACTACATCAAGGACGTGGAAAGACAGCCTATAGGATGGAGAACGTATTCACAGATTATTTATCTGATGAGGGATTGCATTCTGGGGAGCTGGAGGCCTGGTGGTGCATGCCTCAAATCCTAGTGCTCTGGAGGCTGAGATACCAAGATTACAAATTTGAGGCCAGCCTGGGCTACACAGCCAGACCCTGTCTCAAACCCAACCCAACCCAAATAATCAAAAACAAAAAACAAGGAAATCAGTGGGATGTAGCTAGCTCACTGGTAGAGAGCTTGCCTAACTCAGCCTTGGCCTTGAATTTGCTACTTGCAGCACTGCAAAATAAACAGCAACAATAATGCCAATAAAACTTTACAACTCAACATCAGCAAACCAATAACCCTTAAAATGGTCAAAGAGGCAGAAAGACTGTTAAGTTCCAAGCCAATGTGAGCTGCCCAGGAAAACAAAATAAAACAAAACAAGCTGGGAGAGGGGATGATGGCAAGTGCCCTTAATCCCAGCACTCAAGAGGCAGAAGCAGGAGGATCTCTGTAACCTGGTCTACAAAGTGAGTTCCAGGACAGCCAGGGCTACACAAAGAGAAACCCTGTCTGGAAAACCAAACCAAAACAACAACAAAACCAACCAACCAACCAACCAACCAACCAACCAACCAACCAACCAACCAAAACTCCAAGTTACTTTAATGAGTAAAGAATCTGAATGGGGATAGTGAGAGAAAAACAATGTGCTTGTCATTGGAGCCTGACGACTGAATCTGACCCCCAGAACCCATGGTGGAAGGAGGGAGCCAACTTCTGAAAGCTGTCCATAGACCATATATATGCTGTGCACACACACAACAGTGCACACACACAATACACATCACATATACAATAAATAAAATTAATACAATAAAAAAGAATTTGAAAGAGATTTCTCCAAAGACATACTGGTAATTAAGTGCATAAAAAAGATGGTCAACATCTGAGCTCAGGGTGGGAAGCCCTGGGTTTGATCCCTAGAACTGAAAAGAGCAGTCAAACAACAACAATAACAACAATAAGCCAAACAGAAGATGGTCAATATTATTGGGGAAACGTTAATAAAAACCACCTGACACCCAGGAGTACTAAAAACAACAGGTATACCAAGTATTGGCAAGGACAGGGTGAACTGGGAGCCTCATAGGCTGATGTTGGGAATGTAAGAGCTGCATTGGCAAACACCTGGCCAGTCCTCATAATATCAAACACACCATTCTAGAAATTCACTGGTAAGTATATGTCCAGAAGCAAAGAGAAACATTTATAGGGTATGCACAGCAAAGTTCAGAGCAGCAGTTTTAATCATGGCCAAAAGGTGAAAATAACTCAAATGCCCAAATGCCTGTGAATGAATAAATAAAGTATGGTATATTCATCCAGTGGAATAGTATTTGGTAATAAAAAAGAAATTAGCCTCTGAACTTGCAACAATATGGATAATCCTGAAAGCATTACCCTATCCATGACGTTCAGACACAAAGACCACATATCATGTGATTCTATTTGTCTGAGATGTCCAGAATAGTAAGTCCACAGAGACAAAAAATAGATCAATGGTTGCCTATGACTGCAGAGGGAAGAGATAAGGATGGAAAAGGACCACTAAGGAACATGGGGTCTTCTCTGGGAGAGCACAGATAGCATTAGAATATGATGATGCTTGTACAAGCCAGTAAGTCACTGTACTTTGAGTGAGCAAATGCTACGACACACAAATGACATCTCAACAAAGTTGATGGAAAAACTACCCAACCCACCAGGCAACTTGGTCATCTGCAGCCACCTTCCTTATTATCCTCATTAGCTGTTTCCTGACAGGGACACAAGTTCCCTGAGGCCCATACCTGTGTGCTTGGTGGGCACACAGCATCTGGGCCACAGAAGCAGCTCAGGAAAACATTCTTCAACAAATGAATGCATCATGACCCAATACCCCCCATCCCCGGAAGAACACAACACTGCTGCTTTCAGCAACATCAGAGAACCAGAGGAAAAAAACATACTTAAAACTGGCTGGAAAACTAAAGAACAAAACATTATTGAGCACCATGGGAAAGTAAGTTATCTGTAGTTTTGAAAAATAAAAAGCACTCAATCAAAACTTCTAGCATTTAGTACTAAAGTAAAAGTTGTCTCCCAACAAATGACACGGTAGCTGTATTTCAGGGCTGTCACTGTCATCACTGTTGCATGCAACTTAACAAGATCGCAGTTCAATTATTTGGTCAAAGACATTCCAATGGCCAGGCAGGATCAGATAAACTCTGGCCGCTGAAGATCACCAGGGAGCCCAGAAGCATCAGCACCACACAGAAGAGCAAAACAAACCCTGCCTCAGGCTGGGTGCTCTGGAGCTGCAAGAAGCTCTTACTCTCCAGGGCAGGAGACTCAGCAGTAGTCCTTGGAGGTAAAGCAGATAAAGAGGAATGGTGGGATTTTCTGGCCCTCACTTCTCCCCTGGTTCTCCACCAGAGCAAGGCAGGCTCATTTACGGTTTATACTTGCTTATTCATACTTCAGGGTTGTGAAGTGTGTCATAGTACAATGGTGTAGAGAGCACAGACAGGAATTAGAGGGCAACACACTGATATGTGCCTCTGTAATCTTTTCTTTTCCCCTAAAAATTTATTTATGCATGTATGTCTGTGTGGGATGCCAGATCCCCTGGAACTGGAGTTACAGACAGTTGTGAAAGGCCATGTGGGTGCTGGGAATTGAATCTGGGTCCTTTGGAAGAGCAACTAGTGCTCTTAACCCCTGAGCCATCTCCCCAGCCCCATCTGTAACTCTTTAAAATGAAACTGAAAATGTTTCCCCCTTGATATGGATGGTGTGATGGAGACTGACCACATGTGCAGGAAAACACTTCCCTTCCCTTGCGGCTCACATTCTGTGATAAGGCAAATGTGGTATAGTGCACTCTTGCAAGACTAGGCAGGGAAGGGAAACAACTGGTGCTATACAGTGACCTGGTGGCTGGAGGGCCTCAGGTTCAAGTATCAGTAAGTGACAGGAGATGCTTGGCAGGCAAGGCACCTTATTAGGGAACCGTGCTTGTGTTGGAAGACCCTG